GCAGTGGAGACATTAACATAAATTCTCTGACAACAGCTCTGGTGGACAATTGCACGCTCCCTCAAAACTTGAGACATCTGTGGCATTGTGCTGTGTGACAACACTGCACATTTTAAAGTGGCCTTTTTTTGTCTCAAGCACAAGGTGCACCTGTGTAATGATCATGCTGTTTAATCAGCTTCTTCAGTGGAGAGTTTTGTTCCTCCATCTCAGTGTGGAGGGTTCTGGTCCTCCATCTCAGTGTGGAGGGTTCTGCTCCTCCATCTCAGTGTGGAGGGTTCTGCTCCGCCATCTCAGTGTGGAGGGTTCTCCTCCTCCATCTCAGTGTGGAGGGTTCTGCTCCTCCATCTCAGTGTGGAGGGTTCTCCTCCTCCATCTCAGTGTGGAGGGTTCTCCTCCTCCATCTCAGTGTGGAGTGGACTCAATATATAAGCAAGTATCACCATGAAAGTCCACTATCCAAGGAAGAGTGAGAGAGCGACTCTTAAAATATTTACCAGAAACCTACAATTCCCCTGTTGAATTCCTTTACTTCCACTGAGCGTTGGTGGTAAAGTGGTGAGCATAGCTGCCTTCCAAGCAGTTGACCCGTGTTCGATTCCCGGCCAACGCAGGTCCTTTTAATTTACACTGTTTGGTGATGGAGAATTTACATATTAAAATTCAAAACTCAGCTAAATGGTTTGCATACCAACAGCACTGTTGAATAGGGTGTTGTTAAAACCCATAGGAGTTGATTGGGAATTGAAACTATTCAGGATACATCTCCATGATGAGAATGACATTCGTGGCAGGCTGAGTTTGGGAAACCCTGATCTACACTAATATACAAGACATAAGACCTCGTCTCTCTCTCTCTCTCTCCCTCCTTTTCTCTCTCTCAATTTTTCAATTTCAATTTAAGGGCTTTATTGGCATGGGAAACGTGTGTTAACATTGCCAAAGCAAGTGAAGTAGATAGTAAACAAAAGTGAAATAAACAATAAATATTAACAGTAAACATTACACTCAGAAGATTTAAAAGAATAAAGACATTTCAAGTGTTGTAACAATGTGCAAATAGTCTCTCTCTCTCTCTCTCTCTCTCTCTCTCTCATATGCACACATCACACACACAACACAAATAAACGGTAACTTTGAGTACACAAACTCAACACACAGGATTGTCATGGCACACTGCAGTGATTTGGAAACCAATTCTTAAGCCTCAGTTTGCATATTATTTATGTACTATTAAAAAAAAAGCCTTCAGACTGCAATGGCCAAGAAGCGAAATCAGGTCAACTGTTCACTAGGCAGCTATACTCACCACTATACCACCATCACATAGCTGAAAGAGGTGGTATCCAGCAGTGGAGACAATAACATAAATTCTCTGACAACAGCTCTGGTGGACAATTGCATGCTCCCTCAAAACTTGAGACATCTGTGGCATTGTGCTGTGTGACAACACTGCACATTTTAAAGTGCCCTTTTTTTGTCCCCAGCACAAGGTGCACCTGTGTAATGATCGTGCTGTTTAATCAGCTTCTTCAGTGGAGTGTTTAATTCCTCCATCTCAGTGTGGAGGGTTCTGCTCCTCCATCTCATTGGAGTGTTTAATTCCTCCATTTCAGTGTGGAGGGTTCTCCTCCTCCATCTCAGTGTGGAGGGTTCTCCTCCTCCATCTCAGTGTGGAGGGTTCTGCTCCTCCATCTCAGTGTGGAGGGTTCTGCTCCTCCATCTCAGTGTGGAGGGTTCTGCTCCTTCATCTCAGTGTGGAGGGTTCTGCTCCTCCATCTCAGTGTGGAGGGTTCTGCTCCTCCATCTCAGTGTGGAGGATTCTGCTCCTCCATCTCAGTGTGGAGGATTCTGCTCCTCCATCTCAGTGTGGAGGGTTCTGCTCCTCCATCTCAGTGTGGAGGGTTCTGCTCCTCCATCTCAGTGTGGAGGATTCTGCTCCTCCATCTCAGTGTGGAGGATTCTGCTCCTCCATCTCAGTGTGGAGGTTTCTGCTCCTCCATCTCAGTGTGGAGGGTTCTGCTCCTCCATCTCAGTGTGGAGGGTTCTCCTCCTCCATCTCAGTGTGGAGTGGACTCAATATATAAGCAAGTATCACCATGAAAGTCCACTATCCAAGGAAGAGTGAGAGAGCGACTCTTGAAATACTTACCAGAAACCTACAATTCCCCTGTTGAATTCCACTGAGCGTTGGTGGTATAATGGTGAGCATAGCTGCCTTCCAAGCAGTTGACCCGGGTTCGATTCCCGGCCGACGCAGGTTCTTTTAAATTACACTGTTTGGTGGTGGAGAATTTACATATTAAAATTCAAAACCCAGCAAAATGGTTTGCATACCAACAGCACTGTTGAATAGGGTGTTGTTAAAACCCATAGGAGTTGATTGGGAATTGAAACTATTCAGGATACATCTCCATGATGAGAATGACATTCGTGGCAGGACCGAGTTTGGGAAACCCTGATCTACACTAATATACAAGACATAAGACCTCGTCTCTCTCTCTCTCTCTCTCTCTCATATGCACACACAACACAAATAAACGGTAACTTTGAGTACACAAACTCAACACACAGGATTGTCGTGGCACACTGCAGTGATTTGGAAACCAATTCTTAAGCCTCAGTTTGCATATTATTTATGTACTATTTTTTTTTAAAGCCTTCAGACTGCAATGGCCAAGAAGCGAAATCAGGTCAACTGCTCACTAGGCAGCTATGCTCACCACTATACCACCATCACATAGCTGAAAGAGGAGGGATCCAGCAGTGGAGCTGAAGGTATGTGTCAAGTCTTTCCAGGGCGGAGGGAGGCTTTAGGTAGGAGCCAGTCTCACATCCACCACAGGGGACTGCCTTTCTGCTTTGTCCCTCGCAGACCGAACAGGACTGGATTGGTGAAAGCAATGTGGTCTCCATATAGACTTTTGAAGATCAAGATAGGTACATTTCCACATTTCATTCACTTGTGCTGTACTTTCAGACCAGTGAAATCCTCAGCAACATAGCAGAACGTTGTGATTGTGAACATACCCCGACTCTGAGGAGAGTGGGCTGGCCCAGGCCGAAGCTGCTCCCAATATAATTACAGGTTTCCATTTTGTTACATCCTCTATACCTGCTCTACACACGCATGCTTTGCTCAAACAAAGATGATGACTGACAATCTAACGTTTCTTGTCTTTTCTTTTTTGAAATTCTAGGTGACAGTTGGGTCTTATGTTTTTCATGTATGCTGACCTCCCCTTGATTCAGAAACCTGACAACAAACACACTTTCTAAATAAAACTCTAAATAAACGACTTCCTCTTCTGTCACTACCACTAGTGCAGATAAGTGGTCGGCATTCATCCTCAGATAAACAGACAACGAACACACAAGAAAGAACAGAACGACATTTGCATTTCCTCTTTTGAAGGAGAGCCCTATAGCCTGAGTAAAATGAGTGCTTTTACTTTGCTAGGAGTTACTTGCCTCCCCGTGGCAGCCCTGCGGTCCTATACTGACTCTATTATAGGGTTATAAACAAAGTTGCCTAAATTAGAGCTGCTCGGCATCCAGTTGTCAGGGCCAATCCCAGATGTAGGCTTTGAGAGGGACCATGTTGCAGTGTAATTTAGCTCTGGGGCCGCTTCCACATTACCTCCCTCTTCTCTCTCTTTCTCTCTTAGCTCAACCCCCCCAACAGCCCAGACCAAAGCACATTCAGAGTTACAGATAGCCATGAGTCATAGGCAGGGCCGGTTTAATGCAGGGGCTTACCGGGGCTGAAGCCCCTGGGCCCAGGCCCGTGAGGGGCACAAGAGGAAGCAAAGAAAGTACATATTTAGTTATTTTTTTTACAAAGAAATTGTAATAAAGGAAATATATACTGTATATATTATATATGTAGTGTATATTTTATGTTTTTTTACTGCAACCGCCAACCACAGGAGGACTCAGGAGCCCGCTCTCAAAGAGTATAGACAGCTTGAGCACCAAATATACAGCCATAGACATATAATCCATAGAAGGGTTTTGTAACCTCTTACCCTGGCAATTTGACGGTCAAACTCATGGGTACACTAGCAATGGATGGCAGTCCTGACTTGAGATGATGAAGACTTGACAGCTGATAACAGAGAGAGAGAGAGAGAGAGAGAGAGAGAGAGATAGAGAGAGAGAGAGAGAGACAGAGATACATAGAGAGAATAGAGAGAGGATAGAGAGAGACGAGAGAAGAGAGAGAGAGAGAAGAGAGAGAAAAAGAGAGAGAAAGGGTAAGAGAGATGATGACAGGTAAAAGATAGAGAGAGGGGAGAGACTCTATTTTGAGAGAAGAGAAGGGGGAAAAGAGGGAGAGGCGAGAATCTATCCCTACTCTCTAGAGTTATGAGCTATTTCTCTATCTTCTATCTCTCTATCTCTCCTCTCTCTCCCCCTCTTCCTCTCTCGCTCTCCTCTCTCTCGCGTCTCTCTATCTCCCTCCTCTCCCCTCCTCGTTGCGTTAGGGGCTCAGATAGGACTAGAATGTACAGCCAAGATGAAGACTCTGCCTTTGTCCACATTTTCATCTCTGTTCGTCATGACCAAGGCCCACTGATTATACTGTAGTTATTCTCTGGAAAACATTGTTTAAAGGACCATGTAATTACCATTATGGTACAGTCCTATTTTTAGAACCACAGAGTAGGATAAATCCAAAGCTAATATGCACCAATATGCTAGCTGAGATGTAAATTGAGGAGGCGTTAGCCAGACAGAAGGATGGACGGACAGACAGAGGGACAGACGGACGGAGGAACAGACAGACGGCGGGACTGACTGACAGACAAACAGAGGGTCAGACAGACGGAACGACAGATTGACGGAGGGACCAACAGACAGAAAGACAGATGGACAGACAAACAGACAGACAGATAAACAGAGAGATAAACAGAGAGATAAACCAACAGATAAACAGACAGACAGGGAAGTGTGGAGCTCTGTCTCGTCAGACAGCCCCAGAGCTCACGGCCTTCGCCTCAGATCCCTCTTCCCTCTTCCTGCTCAGAGAGCGAGCCAGACGGCAACAGGAAATTGGGGGGCGTTTGGGCAACGGTCTCGCCTTTGACCCCTGAGCTGCCGTGCACCCTGCCTTTGAAGTCAAGAGGGAGAATCACAAGCAATTACTGGTGATATAAAGCACATTCTCTGGAAGGCCCAGCCCATGCTGTGAACAGGACAGGAGGACTTTTACTGGTCTGGGGGATGGGAGAGGAGGAGGTTTGTTTGACATCCTCCCATAATGCCCTGTAAGTCCATCCTTTTGGGAATACAGCCTTTTAGAGTATAGACTGGTTGGAACTAATGCAATACAACCATTGGATGGTTCCAGGCTTTGTCTATACTTTTAGCTCCAACAGACATTGTTGCTGAATTGGAAATAACATTTTACATGGCAATGTTGAACTGTTCCTGGCCCTTTTGTAGGACTTTGGAATTAACATTCTGTCTGACTCTGCATCAAAGAGCGCAGGGTGGCTGGTGCTAAGCACAAAACATACATGTTATCTCTCTTTCCCTCTATCCTACTACATATTTATTCTCTCTCTTTCTCCCTCATTCCTAAAGGCATATGTACAGCGGCTCATGAAGCCGGACTCGGTAGCCGTCACATTCGCTCTGTATACGAAGTTAGGAAGAACACGGCTCATTCGTACTTCCTTGTCTCTGACATCACCACGGGCTCACGACAGAGCTTTCTAAATCCTGAGCACGTCTGCTTCATAAAGAGGGTGGATGGACCCTGCTCGCCCTCACACCATGGCCTTAAAAGGAAGCTGAAGAAGGCTCACCCACCACCCCCTCAACCCCCTCGGCACTTGACTCTATGGGAGCGAGAGGAGGAGGGGAGCAGGGGGTTATGTCCTTGAGCCACTGAGGGTCTTAAAGGATCCGCCCCAGTCAGTCTCAGTCAGTCTCAGTGGCAAATGTCTCAGCCTCCTCTGGGATTGTCACCTCCATTTTACATCTCTCTACTTTGCGCCTCAACGCCCGCCTCCCCATCTGTTGCAGACCCTGTGAGAACAAAATAGTTAGGAAGCTAGCCTGCAACTGTTGCCGTCTGTCACAGTCTAGCTGCGGTGGTAGGAGGAAATGTACAGAGAGTCCTGGGTGTTAAGGTGCCATGGCTGTTATTAAAGTTATTTTATGATTTCCGTTGTTGTAAATCCATATAGGCCTATCAACTTCTTGGTTCTTTCTAACTTCCTGTGTTTGTGTGGTGCACTGCTGCCTAGCTTAGCTATTACTGGTTTTGCCAACAAAACGTAATGGAGTAAGTGATATATGACTGACATCGTTCTGCAACGGAATTCATGTATGAAACAAGAGGCTGTGAGATATGGAATGAAGAGGTCATTTTAATGTATTTCCAGTTCATGGCTGTTTTTGAAAAGACAGAAGCCTTGGAAATACAAGATAGCTAGTTGTTTACACTAGCACAGCACAGATGCTAGTTCAGACAGCTCAGCCTAGTTGACGTTTAGTCTATTCTCATAAAGTAGCTAGCTTCTGTACGGAGGTAGCTGCATTTTGACGATTGCATATTCGCGGCACCGAGGCCATGATGACGTGTGTATAAAAAATACAGAAATGTTAACATAGAGTCCAAGTTCACGCTTACAGTGCATTCGGAAAGTATTCAGACCCCTTTACTTTTTCCACATTTTGTTACGTTACAACCTTAATCTAAAATTGATGAAATATTTTTTTCCCCTCATCAATCTACACACAATACCCCATAGTGACAAAGCGAAAACAGGTCTGAATACTTTCCGAATGCACTGTATATTTCTGTATAATATGAGATTGAAGGATCTCTCTGGCTTTGATATGTGACGACCAGTAGATTAGCAGCTCTCCTTGATCACCATGTCTACTCCCCATGAGGCCACCTGGAACCTGTCAGTCGTAAGGCCAAACAGTTTCAAACCTCTTTTAACACAGCGCATTTCAGAACAGTATCTTGAATAGTATCTTATGCTATCCTGCTTTGTGTGGAGAGTTGATATTGATGGGGAGTCCTCCCTATTTCTCTGTACTCTCTGTACCCACAGGGTTCTGCTCCTCCATCTCAGTGTGGAGGGTTCTGCTCCTCCGTCTCAGTGTGGAGGGTTCTGCTCCTCCATCTCAGTGTGGAGGGTTCTGCTCCTCCGTCTCAGTGTGGAGGGTTCTCCTCCTCCATCTCAGTGTGGAGGGTTCTCCTCCTCCATCTCAGTGTGGAGGGTTCTCCTCCTCCATCTCAGTGTGGAGGGTTCTGCTCCTCCATCTCAGTGTGGAGGGTTCTCCTCCTCCATCTCAGTGTGGAGGGTTCTCCTCCTCCATCTCAGTGTGGAGGGTTCTCCTCCTCCATCTCAGTGTGGAGTGGACTCAATATATAAGCAAGTATCACCATGAAAGTCAACTATCCAAGCAAGAGTGAGAGAGCGACTCTTAAAATACTTATCAGAAACCTACAACTGCCCTGTTGAATTCCTTTAATTCCACTGAGTGTTGGTGGTATAGTGGTGAGCATAGCTGCCTTCCAAGCAGTTGACCCGGGTTCGATTCCCGGCCAACGCAGGTCCTTTTAATTTACACTGTTTGGTGATGGAGAATTTACATATTAAAATTCAAAACCCAGCAAAATGGTTTGCATACCAACAGCACTGTTGAATAGGGTGTTGTTAAAACCCATAGGAGTTGATTGGGAATTGAAACTATTCAGGACACATCTTCATGATGAGAATGACATTCGTGGCAGGACTGAGTTTGGGAAACACTAATATACAAGACATAAGACCTCGTCTCTCTCTCTCTCTCTGTCCATTTCTCAGTGAAAACATGACAGCTATAGTGTCAGCCTAGCATGGTATAGGTCCTCCCCTGAATGAGTCAACGAAGGGAAAAAGCAGGAATTCCAAGTATTCCCCATAGTCCCAGAGTGCTTCAGTCAAACCAGCGTCTGGTGCTGGGCCAAGACAGGGAGACACAGTACAGCTCATGGTATCAGGTAGTTTCACACACAACCGCACACACACAGAGAGAGAAAAAAAACACACACACACACACACACACACACACAGAGAGAGAAAAAACACACACATACACACAGAGAGAGAAAACACACACACACACACACACACACGTTTACCACACACACTCACAGGCACATACGCATGACCACAAACATACTAAGAACATCCTGCGCACATTTACGAAACTCACACTCACACTCACACACACACACACACACACACTCTGGGGTAGGCAAAGAAAGATAAGAACAGAGGCCATGTTGACAGCAGGTCTATTGACCTCCTGTGTCTGGCAGCTCAGTTCCTGTGTTGTATTGTCCCAGAACTCTACTTGGAGCCTGGAGCAGCCCTTTATCAGCTCTCTGACTGCCACTATAAACACACACAAACACACACACATACATAAATGCAAACACACACACACACACGAATGCAAACACACACACACACACACACACAAACCGGCAACCTTTTGCACAGTCCCATTCAGCCAGCATTCCAAGCCTGAAATCCCTCCTAAAAAAGAAAAATGTCTGTATTCCTTTCCCCTTCCTTTCCTCTACTCAAGCTCTGAGGATTGAGGAAAGGTTATTATGGGTCCTAGTAAAGGTTACTACAAGCTTCACTCCATTGATCTACGTGCACGTGGGTGGAGTGGGAATTTTATTGGAGTAGTGGACACCTTTCGGTAACAATGCACTCACATTCACAAAGGGGGTGATCGCAAAGTTATCAGATTTATATATATTTTTTCAAATATGCCGGTGTAACCTAAAACATTATTAGTACATATTATTTGCGATGAAAAACAACATTGCAACACTCCGAATCGTGCGTCTGCGTAGAGCTTGTAGTAAGCTTTAGACAACGGTGGCGTTCTAGGTCATCTTTTTTTTAGCAGTCGCGCTGCACAGGTGATCAAATCTCACAAAGCCTGGATAGGTGTCTAATTAAACATAACAGGAACCACATTGATTTGATATAGCAATCTTCTGAGACGAGCAGCGCGACTGCAAAAAAAAGACGACCTGGAAAGCCACCAACATCTATTGCTCTGTGGTGGGGCACTTGTTTCCTTAAAGGTCATCTTTGAAGGTCACTTGTTTCCTTAAAGGTCATCTTTGAAGGTCACTTGTTTCCTTAAAGGTCATCTTTGAAGGTCACTTGTTTCCTTAAAGGTCATCTTTGAAGGTCACTTGTTTCCTTAAAGGTCATCTTTGAAGGTCACTTGCATCTTACATCCCTCTAACAGATACAGGGCTGTCAAAGAAACAAAGGAGAAACACTGAAAGGATTTACAGTGTTAATGATAATTTACCTTGCAAGCCATTAATACAATTGAAAATGAACTTTTTAGAATTCAAAAAAGGTTCAAAATGACGTCAAAATGACCTGTTTGAGTTTTATGTGAGGGTGTGTGTGTTATATGTTGTATTAGGTTGGTGGTGTGACAAAACATAGGCTATTTGTTCCAAATTCATTTTAGCCCCCCAAAAAACTCCTAAATGTAAAATCAGATCTTAGGAGACATTTCTAGCATCCTGGTAAATTGTTTGGCATTTTTTAGAAATAAGTATTGCTTTGACGAATTTGTATAGTTGGCAGACACATGTTTATCTCATGATTAACATTATAAAACTTGGAACATTTGATGATTAGTTTCACATTTTTCTTGATTTGGCAAAAATAAATTTGCTGTCCTCAGAACATTTTATTTTTGAGTCGTATAATTGTGTTAATTGCAGGAACACACACATGAATGCAAACAAAAACACACACACACACACACACACACACAAACTGGCAACCTTTTGCACAGCCCCCCTCAGCCAGCATTCCGGAGAGCTATGAGTCTTTGCAAACAGTAGTCTGATGGAAAGACTCATATCTCTGGGAGACAGTAGTCTGATGGAAAGACTCATAGCTCTGGGAGACAGTAGTCTGATGGAAAGACTCATAGCTCTGGGAGACAGTAGTCTGATCTGATCACATATAACATACAGTAGCAGCACTGTCCTAACTTCAATAAACAGTCAAAAAGTATAATAGATATCTATATCTGGATCTATATCTGGAACTGGATCTATATCTGGATCTGGATGTATATCTGGATCTGGATCTATATCTGGATATTGACTGACTATTTGGACTGAAGACTACAAGGTTTGTAGTTCCGAGATATTAACTATTCCACATAAAAGGCCAGCACAATAGCAATGTTTTGAATATCCCAGCATGATCATTTGCAGAAGGACATCTGATCCATTTTCTTCCCCTAAACCTCTGAGTGCGGTACATTGTATTGGATTATTTCATTATTGCTGTGATTCAGCACTTGTGAATCTACCTCTCTGGTATGGGTTAGAGTCAGCCTCTGTGTTTCACTACCCAGCAGCCATATTCACACAGGTCAGAGGTCACAGGTCTTACATCTTATGGGTCATTGATGTGTGTGTGTGTGTGTGTGTGTGTGTGTGTGTGTGTGTGTGTGTGTGTGTGTGTGTGTGTGTGTGTGTGGTTTGTTTTTACTATCCTTGTGGGCACCAGAAGTCCTCACAAGGATAGTAAAACATGGGAAATTCTGCCGGTCCCCACAAGGAAAAAGGCTTTTTTAGGATTAGGGGTTAGGGTTAGAATTAGGGTTAGGGTTTGGGGTTAGGGTTAAACTGTGTACGTGTGTGTGTTTGTGTGTGTGTGTGTGTGTGTGTGTGTGCGTGCATGCTTGCGTGCATGCGTGAGAGGCCATATCTCTACTGGGGGCGCCTGCTGTGTCAGCCAGCCAGAAAGAGAGCGAGAGAGAGAGAGAGATGTGTGTGTTTGTGTGTGGAGTCAGTGCTCTTATCTCCCGCCTGTACTGACGCCACTCTCTTCCTGTCTCCAATCTACTTCTGATTTCTCCTCTCTCTCCAGACCTCTCTCTCTCTCCTCTCTCTTCAGACCTCCTCTCCCCAGCCAGCCAGCCCGCATGGCTCCGCAGCAAGTCAGTCAGTCAGTCAGCCAGACAGCCAACCCTCATGTCTCCCCAGTTCCTACTGTCTCGTTTTAGAGGAGGTTTTTCTTCCCCTCTGAAAAGATTAGATGTATGAGACTGGGCCTTTCTGACGTAAAAGGGTGCAGCCCTCGCCCTAGATGGCCACCAGCTAATGAGATTGTTGTTGCCAGGACACTAAAGTATAGGGGTTGAGGGACACAACAGTGACACAGCAAAACACACGCACATCCTGTACAGTGTACAGAAATGTATTCTCATTCACACTTCATCTGGACCCATTCTCTACAGAACCTCTGGACCCATTCTCTACAGAACCTCTGGACCCATTCTCTACAGGACCTCTGGACCCATTCTCTACAGAACCTCAATCTAACGTCTCTCTATACAGCTATTCTCCAACAATGGAACATGCATACAGTTGAAGTCGGAAGTTTACATACACCTTAGCCAAATACATTTAAACTCAGTTTTTCACAATTCCTGACATTTGATCTTAGTAAAAATTCCCTGTCTTAGGTCAGTTAGGATCACCACTTTATTTTAAGAATGTGAAATGTCAGAATAATAGTAGAGAGAATGATTTATTTAAGCTTTTATTTATTTCATCACATTCCCAGTGGGTCAGAAGTTTACATACACTCAATTAGTATTTGGTAGCATTGCCTTTCAATTGTTTAACTTGGGTCAAATGTTTCAGGTAGCCTTCCACAAGCTTCCCACAATAAGCTGGGTGAATTTTGGCCCATTCCTCCTGACAGAGCTGATGTAACTGAATCAGGTTTGTAGGCCTCCTTGCTCGCACAAGCTTTTTCAGTTCAGCCCACAAATGTTCTATAGGATTGAGGTGATGGCCACTCCAATACCTTGACTTTGTTGTCCTTAAGCCATTTTGTCACAACTTTGGAAGTATGCTTGGGGTCATTGTCTATTTGGAAGACCCATTTGTGACCAAGCTTTAACTTCCTTCCTGTCTTGAGATGTTGCTTCAATATATCCACATAATTTTCCTTCCTCATGATGCCATCTATTTTGTGAAGTGCACCAGTCCCTCCTGCAGCAAAGCACCCCCACAGCATGATGCTGCCAACCCCGTGCTTCACGGTTGGGATGGTGTTCTTCGGCTTGCAAGATCCACCTTTTTCCTCCAAACATAACGATGGTCATTATGGCCAAACAGTTCTATTTTTGTTTCATCAGACCAGAGGACATTTTTCCAAAAATTACAATCTTTGTCACCATGTGCAGTTGCAAACCGTAGTCTGGCTTTTTTATGGCGGTTTTGGAGCAGTGGCTTCTTCCTTGCTGAGCGGCCTTTCAGGTAATGTTGATATAGGACTCGATTTACTGTGGATATAGATACTTTTGTACCTGTTTCCTCCAGCATCTTCACAAGGTCCTTTGCTGTTGTTCTGGGATTGATTTGCACTTTTCACACCAAAGTACGTTCATCTCTAGGAGACAGAACGCGTCTCCTTCCTGAGCAGTATGACGGCTGCGTGGTCCCATGGTGTTTATACTTGCGTACTATTGTTTGTACAGATGAACGTGGTACCTTCAGGAGTTTGGAAATTGCTCCCGAGGATGAACCAGTCTTGGCTGATTTCTTTTGATTTTCCTATGATGTCAAGCAAAGAGGCACTGAATTTGAAGGTAGGCCTTGAAATACATCCACAGGTACACCTCCAATTGACTCAAATGATGTCAATTAGCCTATCAGAAGCTTCTAAAGCCATGATATCATTTTCTGGAATTTTCCAAGCTGTTTTAATGACTCCAACCTAAGTGTATGTAAACTTCTGACTTCAACTGTATGTTTGGATGGTAGACCAAAAAGCCACTCACTGCAGATATATGTGCAACCTAGCACAGCAGACGATCGAGTTGGGATAAGTTGCATGTGCCCGAATAACATGGACGCTAGCAAATAACTCAAATATTGGAAATATCACACTTTACATTATGAAGAGAAAACTGCACGTCTGATGGTTGAAATGGGGACAGCAAAGTCTGTTGTTACAGGCCAGTTGTCTCTGCAGGCAGGACAGTATGTGTAGATGGAGAACTGCCTGTTCCAACCCCTCTGGTTCTCTCCCAGTATGAGTCTGACAGGGGACAGGATCGGGCCCTGCCCTGCACTCTGTCACAAAGTACTGGAACGTTCACTCACAAACTGGGACACAATGTCCACGGTAGACATACTGTTCCAGTGGATTGTGACTTTTATTCAACTGTGGTCTGTGACTAAAATGAGGTTGCTTATCAGACAAGAGTGTGATTGGAGTCAGGACAAAGTATGAATCAGACTTAAATATGTTTGTCATCATACCGCAGATTCCCCTTATGGCACCATGCAGAATGTTTTCACAATATAACTTTGCAATGCAACACAAATAAACATTCAATTTACAGTTTCATCCAGGGTAGTGCTTTCTACGAATCTTTCTCAGTGCATTCTATGAAGCCATCCTTTGTCAGAAATAATATTGACACAACAGACCATACCACAACATTTCTCCCCTTGTTTATTCTCTGTACTGACCTACGTAGTTGTGAACGTGTGGTTCTCCATGAAAGTCCATGTCTGCTCTCCTGTCTGCCACAACCCACAGCCTATGGCCGGTTCTAGTGTGGCGCCATGTTTTGCACGACACCACTGCAGCCAGGAACAGCAAGGGACCGGCTCTATCACAGAGGGGTCCTTTCCTCTTCCTTTGTTTTGGGCCCATTTCCTTCCTCGTTTTCTTAGATACTGTTCCCCCCTGATGGAAGTCTAAACAGAGACTTATTCTGAAAGCAAACAAACGAACAAGTATAAGGTTCTAGAACTTACCCCTTGTGGAGACAGGCTTAAAGACATGTGGTGGAGGAGGGGGGATGAGGAGGAAGAGGAGGAAGAGGAGGAAGAAGAAGAGGAAGAGGAGGAGGAGGGGAGGAGGAAGGAGGACGAGGAGGAAATGAGGTAAAGAGGAAGAGGAAGGAGAGGAGGAGAAGATGAAGAGGATGGGAGGAGGAGGAGGAGGAGAGGAAAGAGAAGAGGAAAAAGAAGAGGAGAGGAAGAAAAGAGGAAGGATGGAAGAGGAGGAGAAGAGGAAGAGGAGGAGGAGAGAGGAAGAGGAGAGGAAAGAGGAAAGAGAGGGGGAGGAAGAGGAAGAAGAGGAGGGAGAGAGGAGGAGGGAGGAAGGGAGGAGGAGGAGGAGGAAGAGGAGAGGAAGGGGAAGAGAGGGGAGGAGGAGGAGAGAAGAGGAGGGAAGATGAGAGAGGAAGGAGGGAAGAGGAAGAGGAGGAAGAGGAGGAGGAGAGGAAGAGGGGAAGAGGAGGAAAGGAGGGAGAGGAGGAGGAATGAGGAGAGAGAGGGAGGAGGAGGAGGGAGGAAGAGGAGGGGGAAGATGGAGGAAGGGAGGAGGAGGGGGAGGAAGGGAGAGAGGGAAAAGAGGAGACAGAGAAGAGTAGGAAATGAGACAGATGGAGGTGGAAGGAGGGAAGGAGCAGAGACATGAGGAGAAGGAGGAGTAAGATTGAATGAGGAAAGAGGTAAGCAGAAAGGAGGGGAATAGAAAAGACACTGTTGTGACGGCAAGATGAAAGAGATGTGAGAGAGGTATGAGCGAAGATGAGTAAAGGGGATGAAATGAGAACAGGAAATGCCGATTTCAATTGTAGACATTGAGTCCAAAATGTGACAGTGAAGAGGCCATTTTTGACTCTGAAATGTTTAGATCCTGGACAATATGCATGAAACATTGAAAGCCATTTTAGCTCAATATTGAACATTTGAACTCACAATTGAACGGTTCACAATTGAACATTAGTGAACATTAATATTTGCTACAGTGGGATAAATGGGAACTATAACACACTCCCAAACTATTCTTAACACTCTCATGAGCTCTACTTAAATATTTGTTAGATGTTAATGTCAACAAACGGGCTGGTACATCAATCTCTGTATAATATACATCCACCTGTTGTGGACTCTGCTAATGCCGGTATTAGAAATAACGAATGTTTGCTTAGATCTTATTTAGCGCTCAATTCCGGAGCTCCACCAGGGCTGATGTTAAACCCCTTACCCTTTTGTAACATTGGAAATCCCCCCTCCTCCTCTCCTTCTCCCTACCTCTCGTGCCATTTAGACATGTGACGGAAATCCTAATGAATACTTAATTTCCAGGAAACACTGGTGTCCTGTCACAAGAGTGCTTTTCATTCATTGCTGACTACCTCTTTCAAAATGGAGTGAAGAAAAGAAGAGGACAGTGATAAACGAGTAGGAGGACCAGCCAGTTGGCCCGGCCCCAAAGAGTGGGACGGTCCCGCGAAAGAGAAGAAGAAAAATAAATATAAGCGGCATGGAAAGTCATTAGGGTTGAAAGCCGAGTGCCGTTTCAAAGGGACGGGAGAGCATTAGTGTTGAACTGTGAGTGAAGGGAGCAGAGAGGGCCCTGATTGGACCTTCCCTCTCATTAACGTCGCTGTTCGCTGTATGTCTCAGTCCAGCTGACATGAGAAGTGTGGGCTAGATGGAGAACTCAAATACAGTAGAAAGGTACTATAGATACTACTGTAATGTAGCTCAGTAGAAAGGTACTGTAAATACTACCGTAGGTACTGTAGCTCAGTAGAAAGGTACTGTAGATATTACCGTAGGTACAGTAGCTCAGTAGAAAGGTACTGTAAATATTACCGTAGGTACTGTAGCGCAGTAGAAAGGTACTGTAAATATTACCGTAGGTGCTGTAGCTCAGTAGAAAGGTACTGTAAATATTACCGTAGGTACTGTAGCTCAGTAGAAAGGTACTGTAAATACTACCGTAGGTACTGTAGCTCAGTAGAAAGGTACTGTAGATACTACTGTACAGTAGCTCAGTAGAAAGGTACTGTAGATATTACCGTAGGTACAGTAGCTCAGTAGAAAGGTACTGTAAATATTACCGTAGGTACTGTAGCGCAGTAGAAAGGTACTGTAAATATTACCGTAGGTGCTGTAGCTCAGTAGAAAGGTACTGTAAATATTACCGTAGGTACTGTAGCTCAGTAGAAAGGTACTGTAAATATTACCGTAGGTACTGTAGCTCAGTAGAAAGGTACTGTAAATATTACCGTAGGTACTGTAGCTCAGTAGAAAGGTACTGTAAATATTACCGTAGGTACTGTAGCTCAGTAGAAAGGTACTGTAAATATTACCGTAGGTACTGTAGCTCAGTAGAAAGGTACTGTAGATACTACTGTACAGTAGCTCAGTAGAAAGGTACTGTAAATACTACCGTAGGTACTGTAGCTCAGTAGAAAGGTACTGTAAATATTACCGTAGGTACAGTAGCTCAGTAGAAAGCTATTGTAGATACTACAGTACTGTAGCTCAGTAGAAACGTACTGTAAATACTACAGTAATGTAGCCAGAGTATGAGTGGAGTTGTGCGGTCGCTCGTGGAGCGGTGCCTGGCACTCCACATACTTTCCAACATCTCTGCTAAAAACCACTCCGTGCTCACAGGAAAAGAAAACTGTGCTTCAAATTCGCTCCATTCATTAAGATCACAATTTAACCAACACCCATCTATTTTTGTGACTACCTGGACCTACCATTTGGTTTTGAAGTATTGAAACCAAGCCATATGGATTTGAAAGAAAAGTATTTTAATAAACCTGAAAAGGTGAATGTAAGAAGTGCTCATCATTTCAAATAGGCTACATGTCATATTAAACAGCATATAAACACTCTAAATAGGTCAGGAGCCAGACAGAGAGCCTAAGAAGGAACGGAAATGAATTTAGGCTATATTATTTCAATTATTTCAAGGCTATAGCCTACAAAGAAACACATTGTAAAGCATTTGCGAGTGCGACACACTAGGCCAGTAGGGAGTCAGGGACATTAATCGCTCAGCATTTAAAGAACATTTTGTTGTATTAAATCATTATAGTCTATAAATTGCACATATAGGCTGTGAAAAAATGCCTTATTAGGCTCAGTCTACAGTGCCTTTGAATTCATTTTTAGAAACACCAGTTTGTCCAGAGTCTGTGGCTTCAGGCTCATACGATGGTTCTTGGAGAGCAGGCCAGCAGTGGAGAATGTCTTCTCTGCGCTTGAGTCTTCTCCGCACTTGCAGAGCCACTGGGAATGCTAAACACACGTTTGGCCACTCTTGCCAGGCTGGGCAGGGATGCAGAGTTTTTATTTTTATACACACCATACAGTATATACAAAAGTATGTGGACATCCCTTCAAATTAGTGGATTCGGCTATTTCAGCCACACCCATTGCAATCTCCATAGACAAACATTGGCAGTAGAATGGCCTTACTGAAGAGCTCAGTGACTTTCAACATTGCACCGTCATAGGATGCCACCTTTCCAACAAGTCTGTTCGTAACATTTCTACCCAGCTGGAGCTGCCCCAGTCAACTGTAAGTGCTGTTATTGTGAAGTGGAAATGTCTAGGAGCAACAACGGCTCAGCCGCGAAGTGGTAGGCCACACAAGCTCACAGAACGGGACCGCCGAGTGATGAAGCGCGTAAAAATCATCTGTCCTCGGTTGCAACACTCACTACCAAGATCCAAACTGCCTCTGGAAGCAAGCTTCATGAAATGGGTTTCCATGGCCGAGCAGCCGCACACGGGACTAAGATCACTATGCGCAATGCCAAGCGTTGACTGGAGTGGTCCAAAGCTCACCACCATTGGACTCTGGAGCAGTGGAAAAGCGTTCTCTGGAGTGATGAATCACGTTTCACCATCTGGCAGTCCAACGGACGAATCTGGGTTTGGCGGGTGCCAGGAGAACGCTACCTGCCCGAATGCAAAGTGACAACTGTAAAGTTTGGTGGAGGAGGAATAATGGTCTGGGGCTGTTTTTCATGGTTCGGGCAAGGCCCCTTAGTTCCAGTGAAGGGAAATCTTAACGCTACAGCATACAATGAAATTATAGAAGATTTTGTGCTTCCAACTTTGTGTCAACAGTTTGGGGAAGGCCCTTTCCTGTTTCAGCATGACAATGCCCCCGTGCACAAAGCGAGGTCCATACAGAAATGGTTTGTCAAGATCGGTGTGGAAGAACTTGACTGGCCTGCACAGAGCTCTGACCTTAATCCCATCGAACACCTTTGGGATGAATTGGAACGCCGACTGCATGTTAATGCCCATGATTTTGGAATGAGATGTTCGACGATGTTGGTTATGCAGTGTATATAGACGGGCCTAAAGGTTTTTAGGCAAAATAACCCAATCAAAACAGAAAGCTCCTTGAAAGTTGGAAAAAGCCAGGCCTATTGGGCCAAAATCAATGATGGTCTATTGTATAGATAATAGAACAAAAATTAAGGAAACTTTTAAGAGATCTGATTTTGAGTTTATAAATACTTTGCTACAATGACACACTTAGTTATCTACCCACTTCATTCCTTTCTTTTAGCATGTGCACGTAGTAAGTACCCCATCATACTTTCAGGATACGTGTCATTTCAGATTCCACAATGATTCTTTAGTTGTGGACATTACATCACCACACTCCCTCTCTTGCTCTTGGTCCTCATCTTTGTAAGTCACCTTGAGTTTTCACCTGTGTGTTTTATCAGTTTCTTTATGACAATATTTAGTGAACTCCATGACAGCAGCTAAAGCAAGGGGCTATAGCAGCGCACAAGTAGACTACAAATGCATGCTGGGCCGGGCCGCGCCCTGAGCTCATGAAGCGAGCGACCCTGGAGCGGTACTGGAGCGAAATTGGAGGGGGCGAGAGCGCCGGCGCTCCAGCCTTTGGGAATCTTGCTCCGCGCTCCAGTCAAATTGGGCACGCTCCACTCCTCACTACGCTCCAGCTCCGCTCCGCTCACATACTCTGACTGTAGCTCAATAGAAAGGTACTGTAGATATTACTGTAATGTAGCTCAGTAGGAAGGTACTGTAGATATTACCGTAGGTACTGTAGATATTACTGTAATGTAGCTCAATAGAAAGGTACTGTAGATATTAACGTAGGTACTGTAGCTCTGTAGAAAGGTACTGTAGATATTACTGTAATGTAGCTCAGTAGGAAGGTACTGTAGATATTACCGTAGGTACTGTAGATATTACTGTAATGTAGCTCAGTAGGAAGGTACTGTAGATATTACTGTAATGTAGCTCAGTAGAAAGGTACTGTAGATATTACCGTAGGTACTGTAGCTCTGTAGAAAGGTACTGTAGATATTACCGTAGGTACTGTAGCTCTGTAGTGTGACACTCTGGCTCCACGGACCTTTATTCTTGAGCCAGGGTTGTTCATGTTCATTTGTTTTGGGTGTATTTCTATGTGGGGGTGTCTAGGTTGTTGTATTTCTATGTTGGGTGATTGTGCGTGTTTGTATTCATTGACTCCCAATCGGAGGTAACGAGTGTCAGCTGTCGGCTCGTTATCTCTGATTGGGAGCCATATTTAAGATGTAGGTTTTCTGGTGTTAGTTGTGGGTTATTGTTTCCATGTTCTATGTTCAGTCTGTGTAACTGAGGACGTCACGGATCGTGTTTTGTTTTGTCGTGTGTTTCTTTATTAAAATAAGTCATGTTCACTCGCTACGCTGCGCATTGGTCTCATCCTTACGACCGCCGTGACAGAATAACCCACCACAAGAGGACCAAGCGGCGTAACAAGCAGGGTGTCCAGGAGCCGACGCCCTTTCCAACTCTAGCGGATATCCACTTCAACTGGGTCAAGCCGCGTGAGGAGGAGAGAGGTTGGACTTGGGAGCAGAGGATGGAGAGTCTGGAGAGTCTGGCGAGGAAGATAGATGCCTGGTCCACGGGGAGGAGAGACCCCCAGAAAATTTTTGGGGGGGGGCTCACGACGTCGGGGCAGAAGGTGTACGGCCCGGAGGAGTGCAAGAGGTTGGCAGATATGGCCGCCAGTACAAGGGGGCTACTGGGTAAAGCAGGGAAGGAAAGTGTTGAGGCACGGCATGTGGTACTGGGGTGTGTAACCAGTTCGGTCCGGCCCGTTCCTAGTCCCGAGGTGCAGCCAGTAGTGTGTGTTCCCCGTACGGTACGGCCTGTTCCGGTCCCTCGCACTAAGTGTACGGTGCGCGTCGCCAGCCCAGCCCGGCCTGTTCCTACTCCACGCACCAGGGATACGGTGCGCTTCGCCAGCCCAGCCCGGCCTGTTCCTACTCCACGCACCAGGGATACGGTGCGCTTCGCCAGCCCGGCCCGGCCTGTTCCGGCCACTCGCACCAGGGATACGGTGCGCGTCGCCAGCCCCGCCCGGCCTGTTCCTGCTCTCCGCACTAGGCGTGAGATGCGTGTCCTCAGCCTGGTACCTCCAGTTCCGGCACCACGCATCAGGCCTACGGTGCGTCCCCAGGGCCAAGCATGCCCTGTTGCTTCTCCCCGCACTAGCCCTGAGATGCGTGTCCTCAGCCCGGTACCTCCAGTTCCGGCACCACGCACCAGTTCTACGATGCGCTTCAGACAGCCAGAGTCTGCCGTCTGCCCAACGGGGCCTGAACTGTCCGTCTGCCCAACGCCGCCTGAACTGCCCGTCTGCCAAGCGCCGCAGGGGCTGCCCGTCTGCCATGAGCCTGCAAAGCCGCCCGTCTGCCATGAGCCTACAGAGCCGTCCGCCAGACCGGAGCCGCTAGAGCTCTCCGCCAGACAGGAGCAGCCAGAGCCTTCCGCCAGACAGGATCAGCCAGAGCCTTCCGCCAGACAGGATCAGCCAGAGCCTTCTGCCAGACAGGATCCGCCAGAGCCAGCCAGCCAGGATCCGCCATTCAGTCCGGTGCTGCCCCTCAGTCAGGTACTGTCCCTTAGTCCGGTGCTGCCCCTTAGTCCGGTGCCGCCCCTTAATCCAGTGGGGTTTAGTTGGGGGGTGGTCATGAGGAAGGGTAGACGAAAGCGGAGAGTGACTAAGGTGGAGTGGGGACCACGACCTGGGCCAGAGCCGCCACCAGGGACAGACGCCCACCCAGACCCTCCCCTAGACTGTATGCTGGTGCGCCCGGAGGTCGCACCTTTAGGGGGGGGTAATGTGACACTCTGGCTCCACGGACCTTTATTCTTGAGCCAGGGTTGTTCATGTTCATTTGTTTTGGGTGTATTTCTATGTGGGGGTGTCTAGGTTGTTGTATTTCTATGTTGGGTGATTGTGCGTGTTTGTATTCATTGACTCCCAATCGGAGGTAACGAGTGTCAGCTGTCGGCTCGTTATCTCTGATTGGGAGCCATATTTAAGATGTAGGTTTTCTGGTGTTAGTTGTGGGTTATTGTTTCCATGTTCTATGTTCAGTCTGTGTAACTGAGGACGTCACGGATCGTGTTTTGTTTTGTCGTGTGTTTCTTTATTAAAATAAGTCATGTTCACTCGCTACGCTGCGCATTGGTCTCATCCTTACGACCGCCGTGACATGTAGAAAGGTACTGTAGATATTACTGTAATGTAGCTCAATAGAAAGGTACTGTAGATATTACCGTAGGTACTGTAGCTCTGTAGAAAGGTACTGTAGATATTACTGTAATGTAGCTCAATAGAAAGGTACTGTAGATATTACCGTAGGTACTGTAGCTCTGTAGAAAGGTACTGTAGATATTACCGTAGGTACTGTAGCTCTGTAGAAAGGTACTGTAGATATTACTGTAATGTAGCTCAATAGAAAGGTACTGTAGATATTACCGTAGGTACTGTAGCTCTGTAGAAAGGTACTGTAGATATTACTGTAATGTAGCTCAATAGAAAGGTACTGTAGATATTACCGTAGGTACTGTAGCTCTGTAGAAAGGTACTGTAGATATTACTGTAATGTAGCTCAATAGAAAGGTACTGTAGATATTACCATAGGTACTGTAGCTCTGTAGAAAGGTACTGTAGATATTACTGTAATGTAGCTCAGTAGGAAGGTACTGTAGATATTACCGTAGGTACTGTAGCTCTGTAGAAAGGTACTGTAGATATTACCGTAGGTACTGTAGCTCTGTAGAAAGGTACTGTAGATATTACCGTAGGTACTGTAGCTCTGTAGAAAGGTACTGTAGATATTACCGTAGGTACTGTAGCTCAGTAGAAAGGTACTGTAGATATTACTGTAATGTAGCTCAATAGAAAGGTACTGTAGATATTACCGTAGGTACTGTAGCTCTGTAGAAAGGTACTGTAGATATTACTGTAATGTAGCTCAATAGAAAGGCACTGTAGATATTACCGTAGGTACTGTAGCTCTGTAGAAAGGTACTGTAGATATTACTGTAATGTAGCTCAATAGAAAGGTACTGTAGATATTACCGTAGGTACTGTAGCTCTGTAGAAAGGTACTGTAGATATTACTGTAATGTAGCTCAATAGAAAGGTACTGTAGATATTACCGTAGGTACTGTAGCTCAGTAGGAAGGTACTGTAGATATTACTGTAATGTAGCTCAATAGAAAGGTACTGTAGATATTACCGTAGGTACTGTAGCTCAGTAGGAAGGTACTGTAGATATTACTGTAATGTAGCTCAATAGAAAGGTACTGTAGATATTACCGTAGGTACTGTAGCTCAGTAGAAAGGTACTGTAGATATTACCGTAGGTACAGTAGCTCAGTAGAAAGGTACTGTAGATATTACCGTAGGTACTGTAGCTCAATAGAAAGGTACTGTAGATATTACCGTAGGTACTGTAGCTCAGTAGAAAGGTACTGTAGATATTACCGTAGGTACAGTAGCTCAGTAGAAAGGTACTGTAGATATTACCGTAGGTACTGTAGCTCAGTAGAAAGGTACTGTAGATATTACCGTAGGTACAGTAGCTCAGTAGAAAGGTACTGTAAATATTACCGTAGGTACTGTAGCTCAGTAGAAAGGTACTGTAGATACTACCGTAGGTACTGTAGCTCAGTAGAAAGGTACTGTATATAGAAAATCTCAAGGTAGACCATTTCCCCTGCGTACATATCTAGGATTAGTTCTCTTTTCTCAATCGGCCAATATCCAGACCCCAAACATGTAAACCCTCTAGCTGGCTAAAGTGGCTAACGTTTGGCAGGCCGTCTTTACAGAGATTCCTATGGTCCAAGATTAAGAGTTGCTGGCATTTATCCAGTTGTCTGGCCCCACATTATCTTCAACACCCCGGACAGCATGTTTTTATAAGGGGGCTCCTTGTCTAGCCAGAACCCAGGGGGGTTGTGTGTGTGTGTGTGCGTGTGTGTGTGTGTGTGTGTGTGTGTGTGTGTGTGTGTGTGTGTGTGTGTGTGTGTGTGTGTGTGTGTGTGTGTGTGTGTGTGTGTGTGTGTGTGTGTGTGTGTGTGTGTGTGTGCGTGAGTGGGAGCCAAGGGGCTTGAGTGGGGGGGTTGAGTACACTCTGCCGCCTTCGTGGACAAAGTTGTCTGCCATGTCTCTAGGAGAGGACCATTAGGGGAGCAATGGAGCTGATGACATGTTATTCCTGTGACATGCCTGGGCCCTGGCCCCTGGCTCCTCTGCTCTCTACCGGACCATGGGAGCCCCCGGGGCCTCCAAGTGGACAGAGACAGACAAACGCACAGACAGAGGGAGGGAGGGAGGTTATTTTAGGAGGTGGTCTGGTGCCGGACGCCGGACGCCCTGTCTCCCACCACCAGCCAGTCCCCCAGTCCAGCAAACAACCTGTCTCCTGATACACTATCAACAGGCAGGCAGGCCGGCGCGTTTTTAAACGGGAGCCATGGCAATTATTAGACTGACGCCAAGGGGAACAGAGTTATCAGAGGCCCGAGACAGAGAAGATAAAATGGTGGTTCGTCCAATAGGAATGGTCTGGAGGGAAACAACACGACCACAGTAAAAACACTCTACCAAGCACGTAACGTAGTTTTGGTAACTCAGTGCTTCCGAAGTTATTACAACAAGTCACGTTTGAATACTCAACTACTCTTCTTACAAAGAAAACACTTTTTGATGTAGAGATTTTGTGTGTGCTTCAAATCAAATCAAATTTTTTTGGTCACATACACATACAGTGGGGAGAACAAGTATTTGATACACTGCCAATTTTGCAGGTTTTCCTACTTACAAAGCATGTAGAGGTTTGTAATTTTTATCATAGGTACACTTCAACTGTGAGAGACGGAATCTAAAACAAAAATCCAGAAAATCACATTGTATGATTTTTAAGTAATTAATTTGCATTTTATTGCATGACATAAGTATTTGATCACCTACCAACCAGTAAGAATTCCGGCTAACACAGACCTGTTAGTTTTTCTTTAAGAAGCCCTCCTGTTCTCCACTCATTACCTGTATTAACTGCACCTGTTTGAACTCGTTACTTGTATAAAAGACACCTGTCCACACACTCAATCAAACAGACTCCAACCTCTCCACAATAGCCAAGACCAGAGAGCTGTGTAAGGACATCAGGGATAAAATTGTAGACCTGCACAAGGCTGGGATGGGCTACAGGACAATAGGCAAGCAGCTTGGTGAGAAGGCAACAACTGTTGGCGCAATTATTAGAAAATGGAAGAAGTTCAAGATGACGGTCAATCACCCTCAGTCTGGGGCTCCATGCAAGATCTCACCTCGTGGGGCATCAATGATCATGAGGAAGGTGAGGGATCAGCCCAGAACTTAACGGCAGGACCTGGTCAATGACCTTAAGAGAGCTGGGACCACAGTCTCAAAGAAAACCATTAGTAACACACTAGGCCGTCATGGATTCAAATCCTGCAGCGCACGCAAGGTCCCCCTGCTCAAGCCAGCGCATGTCCAGGCCCGTCTGAAGTTTGCCAATGACCATCTGGATGATCCAGAGGAGGAATGGGAGAAGGTAATGTGATCTGATGAGACAAAAATAGAGCTTTTTGGTCTAAACTCCACTCGCCGTGTTTGGAGGAAGAAGAAGGATGAGTACAACCCCAAGAACACCATCCCAACCGTGAAGCATGGAGGTGGAAACATCATTCTTTGGGGATGCTTTTCTGCAAAGGGGACAGGACGACTGCACCGTATTGAGGAGAGGATGGATGGGGCCATGTATCGCGAGATCTTGGCCAACAACCTCCTTCCCTCAGTAAGAGCATTGAAGATGGGTCGTGGCTGGGTCTTCCGGCATGACAACGACCCGAAACACACAGCCAGGGAAACTAAGGAGTGGCTCCGTAAGAAGCATCTCAAGGTCCTGGAGTGGCCTAGCCAGTCTCCAGACCTGAACCCAATAGAAAATCTTTGGAGGGAGCTGAAAGTCCGTATTGCCCAGCGACAGCCCCGAAACCTGAAGGTCTGTATGGAGGAGTGGGCCAAAATCCCTGCTGCAGTGTGTGCAAACCTGGTCAAGACCTACAGGAAATGTATGATCTCTGTAATTGCAAACAAAGGTTTCTGTACCAGATATTAAGTTCTGCTTTTCTGATGTATCAAATACTTATGTCATGCAATAACATGCAAATTAATTACTTACAAATAATACAATGTGATTTTCTGGATTTTTGTTTTAGATTCCGTCTCTCACAGTTGAAGTGTACCTATGATAAAAATTACAGACCTCTACATGCTTTGTAAGTAGGAAAACCTGCAAAATCGGCAGTGTATCAAATACTTGTTCTCCCCACTGTATTTAGCAGATGTTATTGTGGGTGTAGCGAAATGCTTGTGTTCCTAGCTCCAACAGTGCTGTAGTTTCTAACAATTCACAACAATACACACAAATCTAAAAGTAAAAGAATGGAATTAAGAAATATAGAAATATTAGGACGAGCAATGACTAAAATACAGTAAAATAGAATACAGTATATACATATGAAATGAGTAAAGCAGTATGTAAACATTATTAAAGTGGCCAGTGTTCCATTATTAAAGTGGCCAGTGATTCCATGTCTATGTTTATAGGGCAGCAGCCTCTAAGGTGCAGGGTTGAGTAATCGGGTGGCAGCCGGCTAGCGATGGCAATTTAACAGTCTGATGGCCTTGAGATAGAAGATGGTTTTCAGTCTCTCGGTCCCAGCTTTGATGCACCTGTACTGACCTCGCCTTCTGGATGGTAGCTGGTTGAACAGGCCGTGGCTCGGGTGGTTGATGTCCTAGATGATCTTTTTGGCCTTCCTGTGTCATCGGGTGCTGTAGGTGTCCTGGAGGGCAGGCAGCGTGCCCCCGGTGATGATTTGGGGAGACTGCACCACCCTCAGAAGAGCCCTGCGGTTGGGGGCAGTGCAGTTGCCATACCAGGTGGTGATACAGCCCGACAGGGTGTTCTCAATTGTACATCTGTAAAAGTTTCTTCGGCCTCCTGAGTTTGAAGAGGCGCTGTTGCGTCTTCTTCACCACACTGTCTGTGTGGGTGGACCATTTCAGATTGTCAGTGATGTGTCCGCCGAGGAACTTGAAGCTTTCCACCTTCTCCACTGCGGTCCCATCGATGTGGATGGTGGCGTGCTCCCTCTGCTGTTTCCTGAAGTCCACGATCAGCTCCTTTGTTTTGTTGATGTTGAGGGAGAGGTTATTTTCCTGGCACCACTCCGCCAGGGCCCTCACCTCCTCCCTGTAGGCTGTCTCGTCATTGTTGGTAATCAGGCCTACTACTGTTGTGTCGTCTGCAAACTTGATGATTGAGTTGGAGGCGTGTGGCCACGCAGTCATGGGTGAACTGGGAGTACAGGAGGAGGTTGTGCACGCACCCTTGTGGGGCCCCTGTGTTGAGGATCAGCGAAGTGAAGGTGTTGTTTCCAACCTTCACCACCTGGGGGCGGCCCGTCAGTAAGTCCAGGACCCAGTTGCACAGGGCGGGGTTCAGACCCAGGGCCTCGAGCTTAATGATGAGCTTGGAGGGTCCTATGGTGTTGAAGGCTGAGCTATAGTCAATTAACAGCATTCTTACATAGGTATTTCTCTTGTCCAGGTGGGAAAGGGCAGTGTGCGGTGCGATGGCGATTGCATCGTCTGTAGATCTATTGGGGCGGTAAGCAAATTGAAGTGGGTCTAGGGTGTCAGGTAAGGTAGAGGTGATATGATCCTTAACTAGCCTCTCAAAGCACTTCATGATGACAGAAGTGAGTGCCACGGGGCGATAGTCATTTAGTTCAGTTACCTTTGCTTTCTTGGGTACAGGAACAATGGTGGACATCTTAAAGCAAGTCGGGACAGCAGACTGGGATAGGGAGAGATTGAATTTGTCCGTAAACACTCCAGCCAGCTGGTCTGCGCATGCTCTGAGGACGCGGCTAGGGATGTCGTCTGGGTCGGCAGCCTTGCGAGGTTTAACACGCTTAAATGTCTTACTCACGTCGGCCACTGAGAAGAAGAGCCCACAGTCCTTGGGAGCAGGCCACGTCGGTGGCACTGTGTTATCCTCAAAGCGGGCGAAGAAGGTGTTTAGCTTGTCCGGGAGTAAGACGTCGGTGTCTGCGACGTGGCTGGTTTTCCCTTTGTAATCTGTGATTGTCTGTAGACCCTGCCACATACGTCTTGTGTCTGAGCTGTTGAATTGCGACTCCGCTTTGTCTCTGTACTGACGTTTTGCCTGTTTGATTGCCTTACGGAGGGAATAACTAGACTGTTTGTATTCAACCATATTCCCAGTCACCTCGCGTTTTCAATTTTATGCGAATGCTGCCATTTATCCATGGTTTCTGGTTTGGGTAGGTGTAAATAGTCACAGTGGGAACAACATCCGCTATACACTTCCTGATGAACTCAGTCACCGTGTCCATGTATACGTCAATGTTATTCGCAGAGGCTACACGGAACATATCCCAGTCCGCATGATCAAAACAATCTTCAAGCATGGATTCCGATTGGTCAGACCAGCGTTGAATAGACCTTAGCACGGGTACTTCCTGTTTAGCACGGGTACTTCCTGTTTGAGTTTCTGCCTATAGGAAGGGAGGAGCTTGTGTGTGTGTGTGTGTGCGTACTTGTGTGTGCTATTATGACACACAATCTTGTTGTCTCTCATCACCAAAGACTAACCAAATTAGGAGAGTTAGAAGTCAATATAATTACCTTTTCAGCCCTCGAGGCACTAATTGTTTATTGAGCAACATCAGAACGACGGTTCCATATCATCTAAAAATGACCAATTAAGCAGGAATCTGGCAGATGTTTTGCATTTTATTAGAAATGAGAATAAACTGAACATCCTTTGTTTGTTTGTGTTTTGAAGTGGGATCTTCAGTCTAGGTTGCTTTAAGGGGTCAGCCGTGAAGTGGCTTCAAAACAAATCAATTTTGACAAGGCTGCCTTAATGTCTGATTGGGTCAGCTTCTCGGAAAATAAGATTGAGATGCCTTTTGCATTTAGATTCATTTAGGTCATGGTTGGGGATCAAGAGGTTCAGTGAGGACATACAGTACATTCGGAAAGTATTCAGAACCCTTGATTTTTCCACATTTTGTTACGTAACAGCTTATTCTAAAAATGGACTAAATAAAAAATGTCCCTCATCAATCTACACACAATACCCCATAATGACAAAGCGAAAACAGAAATACCTTATTTACATAAGTATTCAGACCATTTGCTATGAGACTCGAAATTGAGCTCAGGTGCATCCTGTTTCCATTGGTCATCCTTGAGATGTTTCTACAATTTCATTGGAATCCACCTGGGGTAAATTCAATTGATTGGACATTATTTGGAAAGGCACACACCTGTCTATATAAGGTCCAACAGTTGAAAGTGCATATCAGAGCAAAAACCAAGCCATAAGGTCGAAGGAATTGTCCGTAGAGCTCCGAGACAGGATTGTGTCGAGGCACAGATCTGGGGAAGGGTACCAAAACATTTCTGCAGCCTTGAAAATCCCCAAGAACACAGTGGCCTCCATCATTCTTAAATGGAAGAAGTTTGGAACCACCAAGACTCTTCCTAGAGCTGGCCGCCCGGCCAAACTGAGCAATCAGGGGAGAAGGGCCTTGGTCAGGGAGGGGACCAGGAACCCCATGGTCACTCTGACAGAGCTCCAGAGTTCATCTGTGGAGATGGGAGAACCTTACAGAAGGACAACCATCTCTGCAGCACTCCACCAATCAGGCCTTTACGGTAGAGTGGCCAGACGGAAGCCACTCCTCAGTAAAAGGCACGTCAGCCCGCTTGGAGTTTGCCAAAAGGCACCTAAAGGACTCTCAGACCATGAGAAACAAGATTCTCTGGTCTGATGAAACCAAGATTGAACTCTTTGGCCTGAATGCCAAGCATCACGTCTAGAGGAAACCTGGCACCATCCCTATGGTGAAGCATGGTGGTGGCAGCATCATGCTGTGGGGATGTTTTTCAGCGGCAGGGACTGGGAGACTAGTCAGAATTGAGGCAAAGATGAACGGAGCAAAGTACAGAGAGATCCTTGATGAAAACAAGCTCCGGAGCGCACAGGAACTCAGATTGGGGCGACGGTTCACCTTCCAACAGGACAACGACCCTAAGCACACAGCCAAGACAATGCAGGCGTGGCTTCGGGACAAGTCTCTGAATGTCCTTGAGTGACCCAGCCAGAGCCCGGACTTGAACCCGATCGAACATCTCTGGAGAGACCTGAAAATAGCTGTGCAGCGACGCTCCCCATCCAACCTGATAGAGCTTGAAAGGATCTGCAGAGAAGAATGGGAGAAACTCCCCAAATACAGGTGTGCCAAGCTTGTAGCATCCTACGCAATAAGACTTGAGGCTGTAATCACTGCCAAAGGTGCTTCAACAAAGTACTGAGTAAAGGGTCTGAATACTTATGTAAATATGATACAGGACAGCAGAGTCACTGACCACCTTCCGGAGACACTTGAAACCCTCTTTAAGGAATACCTGGGATAGTATAATGTCTCCCGAGTGGCTCAGTGGTCTAAGGTACTGCATCGCAGTGCTAGCTGTGCCACTAGAGATTCAGGCTCTGTCGTAGCCAGCCGCGACCGGGAGACCCATGGTGCGGCGCACAATTGGCCCAGCGTCGTCCAGGGTAGGGGAGGGAATGGCCGGCAGGGATGTAGCTCAGTAGAGCATGGCGTTGCAACGCCAGGTTGTATTCGATTCCACAGGGGCCAGTATAAAAAAGAATGTATGCACTCACTAACTGTAAGTCGCTGGATAAGAGCGTCTGCTAAATGACTTAAATGTAAATGTAAATGTAAATGTATAACAGTAATCCTTCTACCCCTCCCCCACCCCACAATAAATAAAACATGGATAAGAGCGTCTGCTAAATGACTTAAATGTAAATGTAAATGTAAATGTATAACAGTAATCCTTCTACCCCTCCCCCACCCCACATTAAATATAAAATGGATAAGAGCGTCTGCTAAATGACTTAAATGTAAAGGGGGGGGGGGTTTAAATAAATTTGCTAACATTTCTAAAAACCTATTTTTTCTTCGTCATTATGGGGTAATGTGTGTAGATTGATGAGGGGAAAAAACAATTTAATCCATTTTAGAATAAGGCTGTAACAAAATGTGGAAAAGGTCAAGGGGTCTGAATACTTTCCCAAGGCACTGTATCTACTAGGCAATACAGGGATGTGGCACAAATTGCCTTGTGGGAGTTTGCTTCTGTAGCCGGAGGGGTTTTTAGTCTTCTACCTTTATAAATTCGGATACACTCTAATAACAGGCATTCTAATCTAACCACTTGGCTAACGGCTACTAGTCCAGGATGGATACACTCTAATAACAGGCATTCTAATCTAACCACTTGGCTAACGGCTACTAGTCCAGGATGGATACACTCTAATAACAGGCATTCTAATCTAACCACTTGGCTAACGGCTACTAGTCCAGGATGGATACACTCTAATAACAGGCATTCTAATCTAACCACTTGGCTAACGGCTACTAGTCCAGGATGGATACACTCTAATAACAGGCATTCTAATCTAACCACTTGGCTAACGGCTACTAGTCCAGGATGGATACACTCTAATAACAGTCATTCTAATCTAACCACTTGGCTAACGGCTACTAGTCCAGGATGGATACACTCTAATAACAGCCATTCTAATCTAACCACTTGGCTAACGGCTACTAGTCCAGGATGGATACACTCTAATAACAGCCATTCTAATCTAACCACTTGGCTAACGGCTACTAGTCCAGGATGGATACACTCTAATAACAGCCATTCTAATCTAACCACTTGGCTAACAGCTACTAGTCCAGGATGGATACACTCTAATAACAGCCATTCTAATCTAACCACTTGGCTAACGCTACTAGTCCAGGATGGATACACTCTAATAACAGCCATTCTAATCTAACCACTTGGCTAACGGCTACTAGTCCAGGATGGATACACTCTAATAACAGGCATTCTAATCTAACCACTTGGCTAACGGCTACTAGTCCAGGATGGATACACTCTAATAACAGTCATTCTAATCTAACCACTTGGCTAACGGCTACTAGTCCAGGATGGATACACTCTAATAACAGCCATTCTAATCTAACCACTTGGCTAATGGCTACTAGTCCAGGATGGATACACTCTAATAACAGCCATTCTAATCTAACCACTTGGCTAACGGCTACTAGTCCAGGATGGATACACTCTAATAACAGCCATTCTAATCTAACCACTTGGCTAACGGCTACTAGTCCAGGATGCAAATGATAGGTTTTCCATTGTTTGACTTGTTGCAACTGAGTCTATAACAACAGATCATTCGGATACCGAACTTTCATTGTCATTGGCTCCAAACCCTCCAGATGTTTAGTTATGACCAGTGTGACAACCTGCCTGGTCTCCTATATGCCCTATGATTACAGAGAAATGTAAAAAGTCTCCTTGTGTAGAGACCTTTGATGTCCTATTTCGCCACGATTCCAACTTGATAATTGCATGACATGCTATAGACCGGTTTACATTAGATCTATGATCACTCTTCCTTGTCTTTCCTGTCTCAATGGCGTTTTCAAACTGGGGCACATGCAAGTCTGCAGAAGCTCTCTAATAACAGTTTTCTTTTCCCTGTCCAGCATTTGATTGAGTTACACTGGGGAACACATTTTGAACAGGTGCCTTGCACACACCCTTTCCCCATAACCCCTCACCCCTTTACACCTCCGCCTCCACCACCCCAACTCTCTGATCCTTTGGACGAAACCTGACCCCCACAGAAAGACTTCAGCGTGCCTTTCAGTCCTCCCAACCTACTGGTTGAGATGGGGCCACAAAGAGAGGAAAAGCACATCAAATCAAAATCAAATCAAATCAAATTTTATTGGTCACATGCGCCGAATAAAACAGGTGCAGACATTACAGTGAAATGCTTACTTACAGCCCTTAACCAACAGTGCATTTATTTTAAACAAAAAAAGTACGAATAAAACAACAACAAAAAAAGTGTTGAGAAAAAAAGAGCAGAAGTAAAATAAAGTGACAGTAGGGAGGCTATTATTACAGGGGGTACCGTTGCAGAGTCAATGTGCGGGGGTACCGGCTAGTTGAGGTAATATGTACATGTGGGTAGAGTTAAAGTGACTATGCATAAATACTTAACAGAGTAGCAGCAGCGTAAAAAGCTCTACGTACTGTGTAACCTACGTACTGTGTAACCTACGTACTGTGTAACCTACGTACTGTGTAACCTACGTACTGTGTAACCTACGTACTGTGTAACCTGCGTACACACAGGGTTATATATTCTTAGTTCAGTCACAAACAGGTCATGACCTGGAACCAGTGGAGGCTGCTGAGGGGAGAACGGCTCATAATAAAGGCTGGAACGGAGTGAATGGATTGGCATCAAAGACATGGAAACCCTGTGTTTGATGTATTTGATACCATTCCACTTATTCCGCTCCAGCCTTTACCATGAGCCCGTCCTCCCCAATTAAGGTGGCACCAACCTCCTGTGCCTGGAACATCGTGCTAATCCTACAGCCTGGCATCTGCCAAACAGCCAAAGCTCCTAAAAAAAATGGAGACCTGGAGTCAGTTGTGTTGGTGCAGTCACCATCATGGCTGTCACAATGCCAAAGGAGAAGGTCCTCTTGTCTCTCATGGTTCCATCTGTTCTAGGATCAGTGGTTACCATGTTTTTATCTGCACTGTTTTGTCTTTCACTTGTCTTCTTCTGTGTGAACAAAAAAAATATAGGTGTGTGTTTGCACTTTTGTCATTGGGTTGGAGGTTTCAAAGAACTGGGGGGGTGTTCAGTAGGAGGACTGTGCAGGAAACAATTACTTTAGTAGGCCAATAGTTTTTCCAGATCCTATTTTTTACTTCTCCAAAATGAATGCTCCTTTTTGTTTTGCGTTTGGAAAAGTTTCATCCAGTTTGTTCCCGCTGCTCTACACGACTATGGTTAACAACTGACCTTAGATCAGGGTTTGATTAAGAACATAGCTTTGTCCAAATGAACCTGAGTCAGTGAGTGGACTTTCACGGGACCTTAACTGTATCACCTTTTGATGGCATGGCTGCCCAAAACTACATGGCTCGATTGCAACGAACAGGCAGAATTTAACGCACTGCTGCAGGTTACCGCTGGATTTCTTAAAACGCTACTAACGGGAGATTACATTCACCTGCGGCTAAACTAAGCTTGATTGCAACGTTTAACCATCAGATCAGTTGATCTCTCGTTGTTACTGTCAAGTGATTATGATACAAGACAGCTGGTCTAGATTCTATACTCCGCCCCCAATGAAATATCGACGGAAAACTTAAGGCTGATTACTGTAAAAATACTTATTAGAATACAAGAATATAGAAGTAGTAGTCCTACATTTCATTCAAACATTTCACCTTAAATGACAAACTAATATAATATATGCCATTCTAAATAACTTTATAGACTAACTTTAGTAGAGCTCGCCAGTTTGTTGTCCTAGAAAAACGGAAATGATTTAGCTCTGGTTCGTTCAGCCATTCCTATGGGGGAAATGAATGGGGAAGGAATGGGGTTTTGGGATAAATGACGAAAATAAAGTCTGAGGTTAACACAGGCTTAGGAGATCTTATAGGTATAAAGACAAATCGTGTAAGAAGGGTTCCCCAACTGGCGGCCGAATTTGGCCCAAGGGTGATTTTATTTGGCACCCCAAGTTTTCTTAGCAAAAAAAATATATATTTTTATTTTTTATTGTAAAAACACCAGCAAATCAGCTCCAGGTGATTTTAATTTAGGAAATCTGTTCCAAAGTATTCCCACGCATAATAGAGAGATACTGTATACTGTATGTGATCGTATACAAATGTAAGTAAGGTTTGAAATTATGTTTTAGTGAAATATTATATCTGTTTTTATATTTGTATTTATTATGGATCCCCATTAGCTGCTGTTTGGGCTTCTTGCGGTCAATTTGCTGTCTACAAATTATTTGTAATTATGTTCCAGCCCCCTGACCATCCGCTCAAGAAAAAAATCGGTCAGCGGGTGAATCTAGATGATGATCCCTGGTATACTATCTCCTAAACCTGTGTTTACCACATACCTTATTTTCGGCGTTTATCCCAAAACATATATAATTTCTCCATAGGCTTTGGCCATCAAGTCATGGTGGAGTTAATGCCTACAGAAAGACACCATTACTATTGCTCTCTATGTTGGTTGCAATTGAGATCAGCTGTGCAGGTGATTTTAGCGTGTATTGATGGTTTAACGAGAGATCAGCTGGCCATAATCTGGTGGCTTTCAATGGTTGCAATTGGCCCCATGAGTCTTTTGCTGCAAGACTACTTTGAGCTATATCACTATATAATGGGGCAGTGCTATGGCTTCTTAATCGCTACTCTGAACTATATCAATATAATAATATGCAATGGGACGGGGCTATGGCTTCTTAACTGCTACTCTGAACTATATCAATATATAATGGGGCGGGCTATGGCATTTTAACTGCTACTCTGAACTATATCAATATATAATGGGGCGGGGCTATGCCTTCTTAACTGCACTTGAAAAGGCATTAACCCTTTAATGAAAGAACAGTGAAATACTTGTATCCATAGCAATAGTAATTATGATAATAGCCTAATTATAACAATGATGATAATGATAGTAATAATAATAACAACATGAAAATAGTTCTGTAGTAATAAGGTCCTTGTTGATTATTATGATGAGTATACATATTATTGTGTTGTTTATAACCTATAAATCATTAATGGCATTTTGCCTGTGTAATAAATAAGGTAGTAATGACAACGTATTTGGAGTCAAAACATGCACTAAAATATAGGCCTACAGGGCACACACTTTTCCAGTATCTGCTGGCTTCTCGATGACATCAATTCAAATGCAGATTGTGCTCTTATAGAATGAAAATCAGAAATCATTCAGATTCCATACAGTATGTTACTGAATGGGCGAGTTTCTGTAACTAAGCATTAAGTGTTTCCCTAAGATAAACGTGTGCATTGATCTTTTGGTAGGTTAGTAAACATGTTCAATGTGGTATAAAGTTCGTGGGAAGAGCTGAAAGTTTGACAGAAGAAAGGTGGATGTTGCGCCTTTAAGAGTTAAGAAACTTGAAACCATGTTTGCGCAACAATCAGTGCGGCTCACAGCCGCCAAAGTGTCTAGACTGGCACATGATGGGAATCAACCAATGGCTCCAGAGCTTTCCTGGGGCCCCAGTGTGTGTACGGACGAGTGTATCCGAAAAAGAATAGCAGAGAGTGAGACTGGCAGTGAAGTAATTCCAATTTTCCTTTAAACCACTTCTGAGCATTGAATCGGAGGAGCTACATCTGCATCCGTGTGTTTGAGCAGCATAAAAGCTCCATGTAAACTTTTTATTTCGGGTTTGCTAACGGATTATTGTATACTACGGAGGAAAATAACATGGGAATCTGAATGCGGCAAGGATTATTTGGGATTATTTCGTGGTAAAGCAACTCCATCGATGTGCCGTCAGAAGGATTCTAAAGCGAAGGATTTAACTAAGGGTGCTCAAAGTCCAAGAAAAAAAAAACTTTTGCTGTCGTTTCATGTGGTAGCTATAGCCTAGTTATTGGAGGAATAATGATGGTATAGCCTAGGAATTGCTGCTGGGAAGATAGTCTTGGGGAATTTTGTAGCCTCTCTGTAAAGACAAACGTTTTCATTGAGTTGGTAGGCTATATGGTTATAGGAAATAACAGTCCAGTAAATGCATGTATGTCGCATTCTGTTTAGCTGTGTAATCTCGTTACATTTGACTTTGTTTAATGCAACATACAACCGTAAATTACATTCTAATGCTGCGAGTTAGTCATAAATCTACGACCCCCGGCTGCGCATGTAGTGCGCGCCGTTTACAAAACCTTAATGTTGTGCGGAGACCATAAATCCATGTGGAATCCTCGCAGACCTGGACGGGAACAATACGACACATCCAAAACGGTCTAAATTGTCGTATGTTCAGGTCGAAACGCTCAGGTCTTGTACGGCGACTCTGGAGAAGCCGTTTAGTCCCAGACAGAGACGGGGGAGATGGGAGAAGCAAACGAAGCGAGGGGTTTCGGAACGGTTCGTGTGGCAGTAACCCAGAAAAAATTCCCAAAACGGAGCTCGGGTCGGTGACCCGTGCCTCGCCATCTCTGGGAACTTTCGACGAAGTGTGCAACACAGACCCCACGGACAGCGCAGAGTCGGCGCCGGGGGACAATTCGGACCATGGTCAGGGGGATGCCATGTGTGTCCCCGTCCCCCATCACCGAGGCTCTCAGCCAGAACACGAGAATGACAGTAGAACGGTTACTTGCTGTTTGTTTCGAGACAGGGACCCTAGACCTCGGAGCCCCGTCTTGACCCGGGGTATTCGAAACTCTAGTCCCCGCGATGGAGGTATCCTCGCGGGACGGGAGGGGAACACTGGCTCGATGGACGAGCAAGAACTCAAGAACGTTACCTATGCTCTTTTGAAAAGACTCAAGGAGAAACCGCTGGATGCCTTGTTGGAGGCGGTGGAGTCGAAAGGAGGGATGCCCAGTGACTGTGTTCTGGTACCCCAGACGGAGCTGCGTTTAGGTGGCTACTCGGCATCTCCCCCGTTTCTGCTCTGTAAACTCTACCGATGGACTGACCTGCACCACTCGACTCAACTCAAAGCGCTGTGCCACTGTCAAAGCTTTGGGGCATTGGACAGCAGTGAAACGGTGTGCTGTAACCCCTATCACTACAGTCTCTTGTGTGGGCCAGGTAGGACAACTGAGATTGGTTACAATCACACACTTTTACCCCATTCTACACAAATCAAGTCTGTATAAATTGAAGGTCTATGTTTGGATAGGTTTGCGCACCGGTGCGCACAGTGAGGCTACACTTATAAATGCTTTTCAAACTTGATAACCAAGCACTGCGTGTCAATGCTCAAATAGCGAGGCCCAAAAGGTAGGCCCACAGCCTACCTGAAGTTTGGAGGATGGTGAAAGATGGGACTCATTAGAAGGCCAGGCTGCGCTAAACACTCCAAAGAAGGTGTCCACCTAATGTGAGGTGAAATTAAAACGCGTTTACAGTCACAAAGCCAATCAATTATAACAGGGTTATACTTCTCTGCGATTAAGTGAGACATGCCTGGATCCTTGAAGTTTTGTTGATGTGCATTGTTGTAAATGTTTGGTTGCTTAGCCAATGCGCGGGAGTTAACATTTTCTCGCGAATCTTATGATTACCGCAACTGAATTCCAACTGTTGGAAGTGTAACTAGCCTACTATCCCTCAAAAACAACATTGCCACACACACTCACACAGAGAGAGAGAGGGAGAGAAAGGGAGAGCTTGAGTTATAATGTATTTGCAGCAAATATTTTCTCTGCTAAGCACTCGACAACACATTCCTCCATTTCAATGTTTTAGTTCATGATATCAATTATATTCATTTGTTTAGTTTTGACGTTATCCATTTGAAGATCGCTCTGAAGTAGCGCTTTGAAAGGTTGTTTTTCCTTCCCTAGGAGGTCCCCCTCTTGCTATTTAGGTGAAGGAGTGGTGATAATATACAGTTTGCATACTGCTGGCGCCAGACTGACTAGCTGGGTATCTCACTGACTGAGTACTCCGGCAATTACTGCCTCCACTCTTAAAGAACCCGCAGCCATTATATCCACTCTGTTCCCATGGCCTGTTTCTCTCTCCCAGAGAACTATTTCGACAGTTCACCATTAGCTTTCTTGGTTTTATGTATGGACAATGCCTGTTGACAACATGTAGCCTACTTTTCTTTTGTATTCTTTATTTTTGTAGCCGTTTAAATAGGATCTCAAAACATATGTTATGGGTAATGTAATTACGTTTTTAGTTATAACCTATTAGAAGTGCTTATTCAACAGAGTTGTGAATGTTTCATATTTTATTCTCAATTCTGTCTGAAGAATAGTGTGTTGATCTGCCCATCCACCACTTCTTTTTTACAGACATATACAGATTGTTGTCTGTTTTTAGTTTTCCCTGTAATCCATGTTCCTTATTATTTAGTGTAGTAACAGATACTGTAACATGATCGATTGCTTTGGCTGGATCAAAAGCCTGCATCCACACTGCCCTTTGCGGATAAAATTGGACATCGCTGCCCTAATCAACATGAACTTCTACACAGTACCAAGCATCTAACACACATATTTTTTGTATTTCAGAATCACCACCACCCCCCTACTCCCGACTATCTCCCTCAGATGAACACAAGCCACTGGGTAAGTCAGGCAGCAATCATTATGCTCCTCCTCATCAACAGTAAACCAATCAGAGATATCTGCTAAGCTCACAGGGGGGGTTCACTCTAATGGGGTTTTGGTAGCATTTTTACTTCCCAGCACAGTTTTTTTTAAATCAAAAAAAAAAAAAAAGTAATTATATATTTATTAATAGAACATTTATATGGTTGTGAAAAAGTGTAAGTAATTACACCTTGTTCCCACTTCATTACCATGGTAATACCCCTTATATTCTGTGCTGGGAAATTAAGTGTTACCGGAGCTGTAATGTAGGGTCATTTACCTCAAAGTTAGTCATGTGCCAGTACATTATTCCTGCATTCACATGCTTTCTCCTGCTTGAAATTCATGTTCCTCTCTTTGAGGAACATGGCATCATAGTAAGGCACAACACGACACCCTCTGGACAGTAGTTAATGCTGAAGTCAATGGTTACAATCGTTTCAATGGAGTACTGTTCTTGATTTCACTCCTCTGTCATGTTCTATCCTTTGCAGATCTATCAGATTCAACACTTTCAACACTGTCGTACACTGAAACTGTGGCCCCCCACTCCCCCGACGTCGCGCCAAGACTCTTCTCAGGTGAGACGCTACTGTCAACGAGCATCAGTGCTCCAGACTTATTAACACAGAATGCTAGGCCAACATTAGCACTGAGGGCTATTGATTTAGCATTCAGTCCATTGATAGAAAGAGTGACAGAGTTTAACACAAAATACACTTATTTCATTCCTTGATTGTTTGTTTGGGATGGGGTTGTAGTATTGGTTGATATACTGTTGGAGTACAGTAGTAGATGATGTGGATTTTACTTTACGTCTGGTTTGGTTTGTGCTGTGCACTATTTTTTGCAGAGTTCACTTCTAACCAATCATTCCGATCCAATAGGGAAGTAGTGTGTTACTGATAGAGAGATCTGCTAGGGGTGTGAGTACAGTTGCCATGTATTCAGATGAAGCCCTGATGGAGGCAGCTTAGCTGTCCAAACTGTGGGTAAATAAATGATTGCATCGGAGCCATTAGAGCGCTGATTTTCCTTTCGTTGTCTACTGCGTTCATTAGGCACCAAATGGAAGAAACCAGACTGAAACAGGGAGGGACTGACTCAAATCGTCCAATAAGAAATTATACTTTCAGTTTTCTTCCATTTGCTACAGTGTGCCTGCCCTGAAAGCATCCAACCCAATTCTTATTAGTATGAGCGCTGGAGTAGGGCTCCCCCTAAAGGTAAAGAGGAGTATAGAGCACTGGAGTAGGGCTCCCCTAAAGGTAAAGAGGAGTATAGAGCACTGGAGTAGGGTCAACCCTAAAGGTAAAGAAGGAGTATAGAGACTGGAGTAGGCTCCCCCTAAAGGTAAAGAGGAGTATAGAGCACTGGAGTAGGGCTCCCCCTAAAGGTAAAGAGGAGGATAGAGCACTGGAGTAGGGCCTCCCCTAAAGGTAAAGAGGAGTATTGAGCACTGGAGTAGGGCTCCCCCTAAAGGTAAAGAGGAGGATAGAGCACTGGAGTAGGGCTCCCCTAAAGGTAAAGAGGAGTATAGAGCACTGGAGTAGGGCTCCTCCTAAAGGTAAAGAGGAGTATAGAGCACTGGAGTAGGGCTCCTCCTAAAGGTAAAGAGGAGTATCGAAACACTGTAGTAAGGGCTCCCTCTAAGGTAAGAGGAGTATAGGAGCACTGGAGTATGGCTCCTCCTAAAGGTAAAAGGAATATAGAGTGCACGGGAGTAGGGCTCCCTCTAAAGGTAAAGAGGGTATTAGAGCACTGGAGTAGGGCTCCTCCAAGGGTAAAGAGATATAGAACACGGGAGTAGGTCTCCTCCTAAATTTTAAAGAGAGTTATAGCACTGGAGTAAGGGCTCCCTCTAAAGGTAAAGAGGAATATAGAGCACTGGAGTAGGGCTCCCTCTAAGGTAAAGAGGATTATGAGCACTGGAGTAGTCTCCCCCCTAAAGGTAAAGGGAGTATAGAACACTGGAGTATGGCTCCCACTAAAAGGGTAAAGAGGAATATAGACCACGGAGTTAGGGCGCCTCCTAAGGTAAACGACAAGTATAGAGCACTGGATATGGCTCCTCCCTAAAGGTACAGAGGAATATAGAGCACTGAGTAGGGCTCCTCCCTAAAGGTAAAGGAGGAGTATGAGCACTGGCGTAGTGTCTCCCTCTAAAGGTAAAGACAAGTATAGAGCTCTGGAGTAGGGCTTCCCTCTAAAGGTAAAGAGGAGTATAGAGCACTGGAGTAGGGCTCCCTCTAAAGGTAAAGACAAGTATAGAGCACTGGAGTAGGGCTCCCCCGAAAGGTAAAGAGGAGTAAAGAGTGCAAGTATCAACACGTTATGAGCTGTAAATCAGGGTCAATGCAGACAAGGAGCATGGGGGCTGGAAAGTGGAAACCCAATTCCCAGAATGCCTTGTTTATGAGGTGGGGTTGCTTGTTATTTATTGGCCTTGACAGTTGTTGACCACTATACATGTATTCATAGACATGCTCATGTTATTGACAAATAAAGTAACTCCAATTGAGAACGAAATAACTACAGTTATTTCGCATAACTGCACAAATATTTATACTGCATTTAAAGCTATTTTGGACTCATCTTATGGTATGGGAGGGATTGTCATTGTGAGTTACCCCAGGATTGTATTTGCATTGTTCTGTTAGCCATTGAAGTCAGCGCTGTGAAGTTTACTCTTTAAAAGACTAGTTTCTGTAGATAAACAAAACAGGGGTTTAATCAATTTTTTTACCAGTAACCCCAACTTTGATAGCACCATGTTGGTGACTCTGTCTACTCTCATTACTAAGACTGGAGGACATATTGCTTTTCGGTGACACATCATCAGCGACCAGAGAAGCAGCTTAGCTGCCTGTTGCCATCTATGGAAATGAGGTCCAGATGATGAAACCTAACATTAGGGACCTCAGGAATACTTCCACTATACTTTTACTTTTCCCTTTAAAAAGTCCCACAAATGTTTGTTTTTTTCAAAAGTCAACGCAACCAGTAAATTGTATGCAATGAATAGCGTATTTCTGAAATTATATTTCACTGGAGTTCGCCCATGTTTCATCACCTACCTATGTGGATTGTGTAATCGGACATCAGTTCACCTCCAAACTAGAACGGGTTAACAGTTAGTCTCTTGAGTATGTCAGCCCAAACACACACTCCTAGCCTAAGGTATATTGGCCCCCCGTCTGTATGTTTGCATAAATGGGCAAACTCTGCAGTTAATTAAGTTATTATGTTGTGCTTTACTCCCTCTGTTGAATGGCTATTAAGACAACCAAAGACGGGGCCGCATAAAGCTCCTATTGTGAAAGTCGGAGGGAGGGGGTCTCCCACAATCTAGATGCCACAGCAATGTAGCTATGTTCTCACTCTCTCTCTCTCTCTCTCCTCTCTCTCTCTCTCCTCTCTCTCCTCTCTCTCTCTCTCCTCTCTCCATCTCTCTCCCTCTCTCTCTCATCTCTCTCTCTCTCTCCTCTCTCTCCTCTCTCTCTCTCTCTCTCTCTCTCTCTCTCTCT